CAGGTGAAGGAAGGATAAGAAGTTGCCATTTCTAACCATAGACAGAGTTCCTGTAAACCTAAGTGTTATCTATGGTTAGTTGCTCCATCCAGAGTTAATTCTTGCAGACCCTAAATATCAGTTTTTCAGAACCAGAGGGCAGCTGGGAGCAGGACATCTGATTATGAGCGTTTCTCCTAGTCTAATTCTATAGGTGTGAAGTAACAAAGCTCACCACATCTAGGCCATGGGGTGTTGCATGACTCCCCAAAACCAGTGGCTTTGACCTCTAGTATAGCAAAGGCTGTGTAGGAGGTGGATGATCGTGGGTATTGACCACTCCTCTCATCACAAGGTGAGTTTGGGGAGCAAGAAAGTATTGCATTCTTCCTAGATCCTGTCACTGATGGGCATCTGCATTGTTGCTTCAAAAAGTTCAAGATTTCCATGCTAAATCAATCCAGTCAACATTTCACAGTCTTTTTCCTTTTTCCCCACCCATGTTCAGCTTCTTCTCTTAATAAGTATTAAATCCACTTTTCTCTTAGTAAGTATTCAATCCGTTTTTCCTCTGAAGCTCAGAGTTCCAGCAATTCCATCTATATCTGTCTCATTTGGTCTCCCCTATCTTTGTTGTAGAGAGGCTGTGTAGAGTGTCTGCCTAGTCAACCATCTTGCTGGAAGGCCTCAGTTAATATGACTTTAAAAAAATTATTTATGTTTTCTAAAAATGGTTAATATGGAGTCCTGGACAGTGGTTATTTTTAGTCAGATATTTCTAAGAATGGTGCACTTCTGAGTCTATGATAAATTGCAGTCTGGAGACAAACTCTCATGAGGCAACTCCCAAGAGTTCCCCAATTCAGTGTTATACTTCAGTTGTAATTATAGAAGGGTTTAATCTAATCTAGAAGCTGGCACTGAGCCCTCATCTTTCATCTCATACAAGAGCCAGGTATGGAGCATAAACATACTTAATTTATATTTACAGACCCTGAATTATCAAAGAGAAAGTTTCCTGAAGCAAGATTTTATTAATGCTCAAAATCATGGGGCAGTGGAGAATAGCTGGAGCTATTGAAGTTTTACCAGTAAGCAATAACTAAGGAAGTATGAGATGGAGGGAGAATGATACTTTATCTATTAATACAGTAATTGTGTTACAAGCAGAACATTAACGCTGGTGGTTTATCCAGCCACAAAGCATACAACATTGGTGCTAAAATCTTAGAAAATCAAGAGCAGGTAAGTTTGGGTCGCTGAAAAGAAAATGCACTTCTCATAGTAAGTCATGAATATATGAAACACATTTTTTCAATAAGTGGAAGTGGTGGGGAGTAAAGTGATTTGCAGTAGTTAGAAAAATATGTGGGGGCATTTGTGGCTCAGTGGCAGAATCTTCTACATAAGTGTCAGAATCTTCTAAATAAGAAATCTTAATTTGATTCCTGGTCAATGTTCCTCATGTGCAGCAGTGGAGGTTTGCATGTTGCCATGATGCTGAGCATAAGACCTTGGATACTAGATAGGCTGTGAAGAAATACCTGTGATGTAGGATCTAGTAGTTTTTAGTTCTATTGTGCATTGGTTTGCTATAAATTGTGGAAATTCACAACAGTTTAAAAACAAAACAAATATATAAATAACTAAAGAGGTATAATAGTGTCCTTCTGAAAGGAAACACTATTGGCAATTGCTTTATTGTTTCCTCATCCATTGCCAGATTAGCTGATACAATCATGGCAAGTTGTTGCATCACTCTCTAGCATTGTCCTCAAGATGCATTTAAAGTTCTATGAGCAGTCAATGATTAATACATGTAAAACACTGTAGCAGTTAGTAAGTCCTCCTTAAGAGTTAACAGTTGATACTACAAGTAATGCTGTTAATACTCCTTCTGCTATATCTCCACTAGAGGAAGACAGTTGTGTCTTCCAGCCATTTGTTTGCTGAAATTCTCATAGCCTATGTTGAAATAAGCACTGCCTAGATTCTGCCTGGCAAATACTATGCTCCTCTTTTTAGCTCTCATTTTCTTTGAGTGTAAGGGCATTTAGAGAAGCAGAGAAGTTATGAATGGGAGCAATCCATCCATAATCTTCTAATAGGGGCTGTCCTTTTTTACAAAAAGTAAAGGTCCTACCTTTGATTACTAAACACTTAAAGTGAGATGTTATGCAATAAAAATATTGGATTCATTGAGTTACTGACAACAATTTGACTATCCCTAGAAGGTGCAAAAGTATGATGCCATTTTTATGTAAGCTATCCTACAGACATAAATTTTACTTTTTTCCTGGAGTTAACACAGGGTATTAGTATTAACCATTCAGTACTGGACAAAACATATCAATTTTGACAGAAAATAGTTTGCAAGAAATCTGTTAAGATAGTGCCTGTGCACCAGTTAGCAAAGACTGAATTTATACCCAGCTAAATTCATTGTTAGTTAAAGAATCACTATTTCATTATAATAAATCATATTCCCAATGGTTTTATCAATACTTATTGAACTATCATATTTTTAAAGAAGACAAGAGCATTGCTTATAGATTAAGTCAAGCTCCTCTTTTATAAAATAAAAAATACCTAAATATGAACAGTTATTTATTATTTTTCATAATGATTACTGAAGGAAGTAAGACCTTCTGAAAGTACAGGAATCACTTTTATACCATATGTCTTGTTGTTGTTGTTAGGTGCCATTGAGTTGGAACCGACTCATAGCGACCCTATGCACAGCAGAACAAAACAATGTCCAATCCTGGTCCAACCTCACTACTGTTGCCACACTTGTGACCATCAATGCTGCCACCTGGTCAATACATCTCATTGGGGGTCTTCCTCTTTTTCTCTGACCCTCCATCTTACCCAGCATGACATCCTTCTCTAGTGACTGTTCCCACCTGACAATATGTCCAAAGTATGAGCGACAAAGTTTGGCCATCTTGGTCTCTAATGAGCACTCTGGCTGCACTTCTTCCAAAACAGGTCTATTTGTTCTTTTGGCAGCCCATGGCACTTTTAGTATTCTCCTCCAACACCATAATTCAAAGGCATCAATTCTTCTATGATCTTCCTTATTCACTGTCTAGCTTTTGCATCCATATGAGATTATTGAAAATACCATGGCTTGGGACCCAAAATACCAAAAATACCATATTTGTAGAACCAAAATAATGTAATAGGATAAGTAACTGTAAAACAAGATGATTTCAATATATAAAATATGGCATGACTAGGTCCAGTTTTTTGAACTGTGAAATAAAATCTGATGCTTGAACAGTGCTGGCATTGGAGCATTGGAGCATTGGTCATTTGCTTTATCATCCTTAGAAATTAAAGCAAAGGCATTTGCTTTATCATCCTTAGAGATTTCTATTTTGCAGAGTTTGTTTCTATTTATTTCTTGTCTAAACTGGGTTGACTCAATAATGGTGAATAATGCTTCCTTTTTGAAACAGAGACATCATGTCATATTTCATATGTGATAATTGAGGTTCATGGAAGACTTTTAAGGACATTTTTCACATTATTTAACTCCTCCGGAAAACAATACAAATATAGATGTAAGGGGAAACGTTTATATGTCAAAAACACAGAAAGAGAAAGAAGCATCATGATAGATATGACTCCCAAAAAGGGAGTCCAGATTTTCTAGTTACCTAAGGATTCAAATTTCCTTAGGACCAAAGTGGTGCCATATGCTTATAGTGTCTTTACACTGACGTATGATGCTAAGAACTCTGTTCTTTTTCTGTTAACTGCTAAATAGTATACAATGCTTTAAGCTATCTATCTTAAATAAAGAAGGCATAGACAAATAAAGGATATGTAATACCAGGAAGTGTTTTGTTCTGTTGTGCATAGGGATGCTATGAGTCAGAGTTGACTTGACAGCACCAAACAAACAACAAGTGTTTACTATATTAACAAAATTAAAGCAAAATTTCTGGTTGTAATTTCCTGAAACGAGAAGAAACATTGTATGTCAGTCACCAGAAGACACAAAGTAAATCAATTAATTGACTATGGATTTGAATATTTAAAAATCTAATTTGTAATAAAGAAAAATCTAATTTGTAATCAGAGTGAAAAATAAGGTGTTATATGTTGGCTTTGGAGCTGTTCCTATGCAGATGGTGGTGGTGGTTATGTCTTTGGAGTCAGCTCCGACTCGTAGCAACCATGCAAAGGGTTTCCAACACTTGTAAATCTTTATGGGAGCAGAAAGCCTCATTTTTCTCCAGCAGAACAGCTGGTAGATTCTAACTTCAGACCTTGTAGTTAGCGACCTGACTCATAAACACTACACTGCTTCTTACCTATGCAGATATGGGCTATTAAAAATACTTCCAAGGAAATTTTATTCTGTGGACAGTAAGCAATGAGTGAAAGATTTAGAGACAAAATGACAGACAGCTGTCATAGGTTGTTAACTGAGTAAGGACAAAGTACAAAGACAAAGTAGAAAATTAGTATAATAAATGAATAAAAAGAGAAACTAAACAAAATATGGATTATGGTGATCAGTAGAAAGATAATATACAGCCTTTTTCATTTTATTGATAATTAAATTTTCTTGAGTATGGCTGTGAGATGGCCACAAGGTAAGTTCAAGAGGTCCTCTGGGTTTGCAGGAGCAGAATGGAACATTTAAAAAACTTAAAATATGCAAGAATCAAGAATGCCAACAGTCTAGGGTACATTAAAAATATATGTGAAAAAATTTTCATATTAGAGTTTAGAGTTGTTTCACTAAATAACTAAATATTCATTTTCCCAAGTCAGATAAATGTAGGGTATGTTCTTGTAGTTTTCTAGTATAGACTTTATATTTTGATGATTTTTTAAATGATCTTTAATGAGAATATACTGTTTTGCTTTGTTTCTCTTCCGACTATAGGTGTACATAGAAGATGGTACTGAGCAAGAGAGAAAAATAATTTTAAAAACCATTGTGTCTCCTATTATTTAGCTTCTGTAGATTTACTGTTCAAATAATGCATATGATTGAAAACATGGACCAAAATAATGAAACTTCAAATGACTTCATCCTCCTGGGGCTCTTCCCTGAGTTCAGCCATCCTCATCTTCTCATTGTCTCCATCCTCCTCATGTATATCATTGCTTTTACTGGAAATGCTCTGCTGATCCTCCTCATCTGGCTAGACACCCGGCTCCATACTCCCATGTACTTCCTGCTTAGCCAGCTTTCCCTCATTGATCTATCTTATGTAACCAGCACAGTCCCCAAGACAGTAACCAATTATTTCACAGGGAGGAAAAACATTTCCTATTTTGCTTGTGCAACTCAGTTGTTTTTCTTTCTCACTGTTGGCCTTGCTGAGTGCATCCTCCTGACCCTCATGGCTTATGATCGCTATGTGGCTGTCTGTAACCCCCTGAGATACACAATCCTCATGCGCCCCAAGGTTTGTCTGTGGATGACTGCTGCAGTCTGGATTGGGTCATCTCTGGCCGCCCTTGTCCATACCATTTACCCAATGCATTTCCCTATATGTGGTTCCAGGGAGATTAATCATTACTTTTGTGAGATGCCTGCCATCTTAAGACTGTCTTGTGTGGACACATCAAACTATGAGATGGTAAAATTTGTGTCAACTATTGTGTACCTTCTGATTCCATTTGTTCTCATCCTATCATCCTACACCCTAATTTTCCTCACTGTCCTGAGAATGAACTCCCGCAAAGGGAGGAACAAAGCCCTGGCCACCTGCTCTTCCCACTTAACTGTGGTGAGTCTATATTTTGGTCAGGCCATCTTCATCTACATGACACCCAGCTCTTCCCACACACCTGAACAAGACCAGATAGGAGCAGTGCTTGGCACCATAGTGACTCCCATGCTCAATCCACTCATCTATAGCCTAAGAAACAAAGAAGTAGTGGGGGCTCTGAAGAAGAGGATGGCAAATTATTGCAACTGTGAAAATGCCCTTTGCATATTGTGTTCTCAGAAATGTCCCATCTTCAATATTCAGAAAAGTCATAGTCAACTAAAATCCTAAAGTGTTTGAATTATAGTATTGAAAATATGACCTAATGAAAGACGGAAAGTATTAGGACTCAAGAATATTGTCATTTTCATGTTGGGGTGGAGTGTTTTTAGTGTGCTGTCTTCAGTAAAATAAAACTGTACTAAATGTTTTTATCATTAATGTTATTTGAAATCATAGATTTTGATGTGATCATCAGAATGATCTCCATCATCTTGATAAATATCAGTGTAATTCTAAAACCAAATTGATGTTTCTTACTTTGAAAATCATCCTTTCAATATCTGTTCTCATTCATTTAATTACTCTTATGGTGCTATATGATAAGTACTGGCCTGTAAGGTTGATTGGAATCACAAGGTTTGCAGTTCAAACTCACCAGCCTCTCCTCAGAAACTCTATACACTGTTACTAAGAGTTCAAACTGACTCAAGGACACTTAATAATTTCAATTACCCTCACTAAGTCTCTATCCATGGAACCTTCTTTTCCCAAAACTTCTAAATTCACCCAAAGGCCATTTTTGCAATTATATATATATAATTCACATAGCTGAATTACTTCTAAAATTCAGTAAACGTATATCTATATATAAATAGACAAAATAGAGGTAAATGCTGGGAAAAGTAGGAATCACTTTCCCCCTTTTGTCAACTAGATTTTTTTTTTCATTTTCCTTTGTTTCAGTTAACATTTGTAGTTATCAATCTAATGAAAATAGCTTAACTTTACACATTTATAATCATATTTTATGTTACTTCTGAGGATATAGCTTAAAAATTATAGTGAACAAATTTTTCATAAGATATATGTAGACAGCTTTTATGTAAAACAAGCAATAACGTGCGAATTTAAAAATTTATAACCAAATTCTACCGAATCATTCAATTTCCTTGTTTTAGTTGACATCATTACCATTACCACATCATACCTTTACTTTTTTTTTTTTGCATTTTACTTATTTTATTGTTGTTGATAATATACATAGCAAACCATGCACCAATTCAACAATTTCTACATGTGGGAGTTAGTGACATTGATTATTTTCCTCCAGTTTTGGAACAAGTCTCACCCTCCTTTTCTAAGTTGTTCCTTCCCCATTGCCATAAACTCATTTCCCCTAAAGTTCCTATGTAATCTTTCTAGTTACTGTTGTCATTTTGATCCTTTATAGACAGATTTGGAGTCTTGGAGTGGTGCTGTGGGTTAATGTGCTGGACTGCTAGGTCAGTTTGAACCACAAGGTCATTGATTCAAACTCACCAGCCTCTCCTTTGAAATCCTATACAGGGGTGCTATGAATCGGAAACAACTTAACAGAACTTAACAACAACAATAACTAGCTTTATTAAAACTATGATGTTCAAGATAGACATTCTTTATCATTTAATCTAAACTATTTTTTTGGTTTTAAGAAGACTTCAAGGGATATTATTGATTTAAGGTTTAAATATTTTCTCAGTGCAATATTTTCCATGGTTTTTCAACCTGTCATGGATCCAGAAAGACTGACGTTCATGAAGATTTGGATGTCTATTCTGCATTTCCCCTGTTTCAGCTTGATTTTTCTCTAGACACTTTGATTAAAATGCACAGTAGTGACAGCCAGGCATCATCCAGTTGTTCTGTTTTCAGAGAAAGGTAGAAGTAGTTAATGGAGATAATTAGCCATGATTCCATTACCTCATCCTGGTCTTAATGCCCCTTCTTCATCTGCTGCTGCAGACAAATAGAGAACAAAATTTGTGCCATGAATGGTGATAGTGATTTCAAGGTTTAAACATCCCATGAAATATGCAATGAGCAAGGAAGTGAAACAGAAGCACTAAAGATACTATTAGGTTAGTTAATGGGCATGTCCCATGGAACCATGAACCTAAACAAAAAAACCAAAGACCCAAATCCCATATTGGTACATAAACAGATAATCTTTTTATTCCTAACACATAGTTGTGTGATAAGTAAATCTATCACACACTTTTTGCAAATTCAACTTTTTAGATGCATACAAACTATTGACAGTACTCGCAATAGTCAGAGGTCCAACTCTACCCTTAACCATTGCAAACAAAAAGAAGATGGAAAGAATATGCAGAGAGTCACTGTACCAAAAATAAATGATCAATGTTCAACTATTTCAAGAGTAATACATAATTAAGATACAATGGTAATGAAGGAATATTGATTTATAATGATACATTTGCTTAATCTGACTTGCTTGCCTGTGTATGTAACACTTCTCTTTTCCCTAGCTGCTTTCAGGATTGTCTCCTTCTCTTAGATTTTGGAGAGCTTGCTTATGATATATCTCAGTGATTTTTCTTTTGGGTTCTAGCCTTCCTGGGGTTTGTTGAACTTCTTGAATGTTTATCTTTTCACTTTTCTGGATGTTAGATAAATTCTCTTCCAGCAGTTCTTCAACTATTTCCTCTGTGGGTTTGTATGATTCTTCCTGTTCTGGAATGCCGACAGTTCTTAAGTTATTCCTCTTCATGTTATCCAACACGAATCTTAGACCTTCTTCAGATTTTTTAAATCCTTTTTCCTGCTTGTTCTTCTATCTTAGTGGTACTGAGAGATTTGCGTTCTACTTCTGCCTTCCATCTCTTCTATTCTACACCTTTGCCCTTTCAGTGTATTGTCTATTTCTGATATTCTATTATTGATCATTTGGATCTCTTTCTGTAGGTTTTGAATTATTTCCAATGCTGTATCTATCTTATTTTATTGTTCCTATAATGCTTTCCTGATTTCTTCCTTATTTTTCTCAACTCCATTGTAGTGTTTTGCAAAATTTTATAATCATTTTTCTGAATTCCTTCTCAGACATTTCCAAGGCCTGTCCTCCTTCCAGAATGTAGTCCAGGTCTACTTCTAGGTCATTTGTCTCAGACATTTTATCTTGGTCTGAACATGTGCTGTTATGGTCATCTGCTTTTGCTTTTTGGACATATTTAGTGTTTATCTCTGTCCTTAATACTTCATTGAGTGTGTGTTTAGTTATTATTATTATTTTTAATGCTTTCTGATTACCTCCAGGTAGATGTGATCAGGATGTGGGCTTCCCTTTTCACTCTTATTATTACTCAACTTAACAACAACAAAAACAAAACTAGATTTGATACTGTAGTCTATAACTGCAGAAAAGGGAGAGGAGGGAGAAAAGAAAAAAAAAAAAATCTGTAGCCTAATATGAGTATGATTTTCATGTCCTCTTTCAGCTCCTTGCCTTCAAGGCTGCCTCATAAATTTGAAGATGCCACTGTTGGTTATTATGCTGTACCTCAGGATTTAATTTTTGGCCTATTTTGTTTTTAAATTCACTTTACCTCTCCCCACCCTATGTTCTTGTCTCTTCCCTATTAAAAAATAATCCAAGGCCGGCTCTTGGATTGCTGGTCTCTTTAAATGCTGAGAGTACCTGTGCGCATGCATGGCAGAAGAACCCACTAGTGGTGGGGGTGAGGGTGTCCACTCACTCAGGCACCCCCTCTAGTCACCAGCATGGAGGTGCACAAACAATGGGTGGCCAATGAACAAATACCAAAAAACAAAAATCAGAACAAAGCAAAACTGACAAAATGTATTGTCCACGTTTGCTCTGAGTTTCCTATGGTGTTATTCTGTGGTGGGTCTGCTCCTCCACTTGATCTTTCCCTTTGGTCTTGCCACTTTGTGGGGTCCAGGCCGCCGAGCCCAGCTGATTCAAAATCACATGATTTCTTACTTCTGCTATAAATTCCACTAGCTATAAGCCTTCAAACATTTAAAATATTCCTACCTATGTGGTTCAGAGTTTTTGAGCTCTGCCGTGAACCTGCTTCACCTGGTATTCTGTGGTTTTGCGGATGGAGAACTTCACTTCGTCTCTACCCTATCTGCCATCAAGTCCCGCCCCCTGCTCCAGTGTTCTTTTAATGCTTTTGTGACCCAAGTGTTACACAATGCCTACCAACTTTTCAAACTCTGGCATTTTGCAAAAGACTGCATTCCCCCTATTAGTGCTTGTTGCCATCTGGTGAGGTACTGAAGAACTGAGTGAACCTGAATAACTAGTTTTCAGCCCACCAAACTTAGCACCAACCTCAGTGTATATGTGAATACACTAACTTTTTCAAAATACATATTACTTCAAAATACATTTTTTCAATTCACAATATCTTCCAGCTCTGAAAATGTATGATTTCAACAAAGATTTCAAAGCATAAAAATTTCCATCTTGAAAGGGTAAAAAGGACAATGCCCCTTAAGCTCAAAATGGATTGAAATTAGGTCTTCATAAAATTAAATTATCTTTGGCTAAATGGGATTAATTTAAGATTAAATGCATAATATTACACTGCTCAGGATTTTTTGTATGCTTTAAATAATAGAATAATCACATTTGGAGTTAACCAGAATATCTCCAAGTAAAGATAACATAAAATACAAGTAATTAAAATTTCACTCAAGTTACATCTCTGGTTTGGAATTGAGGTCAACTCAATTCCAAGAAATGATTGCCCAAGGATATGAATCCATATGCTTTTCTTTTTGTATATTTAAATTCTGACAGCAAAACATCAAGAATTGGGTTGACTAAGGCTTATCTAAAATTTAAGAATGGCACTTCGGTTCAGAGAAACAGCTATTTATTTATTTGTTTGTTTGTTTTTAACTTTTTATTGTGAATTGAGTGAAGGTTAACAAATAAGATCATCAGCTTAACTTTCAATCAATAATTAATTTTGTTTCATCTACATGATTAAAAGCCCCTCCCTAAAACATTAGTTATGCTATTTCCTCCCTGTGGCTTCCCTTTTACATCTTATTTTTTCACAAATCAACAAAGTAAAAATATTTGATGTAGACATACAAAACATTTATATTTATATTCATTTATATGTACAAAGGGTACATTTTGTAAGCCAACCTCTTGCCCACAGGCACACAGTCTTTCACAGTCCCTGGGCCTAGATTCTGCAGCCACTCTATCTCTCCAGAAGGAACACTTTAGATGTTGAGTTTCACAG